GGCACAGCTGCAGGTAAGCACAGTGGCTCCCTGGCCAGGGGGTCCATCCCCACCCCACCTGCTCAGGTAGCAGGAATATGGGAATGGATGCAGAGTGCCCAGGTCAAGAAAGAGGAGGCACCAAAGACAGGATTCACCTCTTTCTTCTCCAGTAGTACCTCCATCTAAATGTACTGTACAGAGAAACATAAACACTACCTAGCTTGGGTTCCCACAAAAATGGCTGAAGTAATCATTTGGGGAGTTTTTACAGTTATTTGGAGTTATGCTGGTTTCAGCTGATTTTTTTTATTTGTATTTAAAAATATGCATTATAAAGGGAAAAACAAAAGCCCTTTAAATGTCTACGTACCTGAAGCAAGGCCTGCTAGAAAAGCTGCACCAAGACTAGACATATCTGCATTTGCAGGTTTTTCTATTTTCTTATTAATTAAATCTGAAGTCATCTGCATAACAAAACTGTTATTACTGACACCTCCATCAGCTCTATAGGGAGAAGGGAAGAAGTAGTTAAAAAAATGTGTTAGGTTCAAATGCTTATTGCCAACATTTCAGGAAACAGCTTCTGGTGTTTCACACCTATGCATAAATCTTCCTGTCACTCATGCACAAATGCATTTCCAACTGATGGGTAAATTTAGAGGCCAGAACAAGGTGCCAAGAGAAAAAGCAAGAATGTCTATAAACTGGGGGAGAAATGATAGACAGACAGGCACATAGGACACTCTCTCTGAAAGCTTTATCTTTTAAAACTATACATCATCCTGGCTGAAATGTTAGTGTTTATAACAGAACCTTTACTACCAAAGATACCCAGCACTCAGTGAATAAATGACCACCAGGATCATCTGTGTAAAGGCTCCTGCAGACTGTTACAACATGGGACATGTGGACTACTAAAGCTCAGGGTTCTTCCTCTGTGCTCTTCTTGATGCTGTCGAGGTAAGCAAAGAGAAGTAACAGCAAAGCAGAAGACTAATGAAAATGACCTGATAGAAGCTTGTAAGAGCCAGGGACTGGAAAGGAACATGTGATACAGGACAGCAGCTGAATAGGGAATTAATGTATTTATGGGATAAAAACAGCAACAAAAAAAATCAAAGGTAATTGACAGGTACTAAAGATGTGTAGACAGGATAGCAGAGCAGTTCACAACCCTAGTGAAAACCCCACTAAGTGTATCTCATTATCTCCTCATGCTTAATCCACAAGCTGGAATGCTACTGATGCTAGTTAACTATTACAGTCGCTATATGAAATGGCAATTTTATATCAATGAATTAAAAACCCCATGATGATGTCATTTAAAGTTTACATTACAATGTAAATAGGACCAGAACTCTAATGGTCCCTAGGCTGTACTTCCACACTTCCCATTTTAAAGTTCGCACTCTTAATGTGACTTCACAAACTCTGGATGCCATTTTCTATGTAAAAAAGCTTCATAAGTAATTAAAAACTTGGATACTTTTCATCTTTTTTTCTATGTAAAAAAGCTTCATAAGTAATCAAAAACTTGGATACTTTTCATCTTTTCCTGTTCATTAAAGCCCCCAAGCCTGGCTGTTTCTTCACCTTTGCCTATTCTGACACCCCAGTACGTGATAGAATGGAGAAACTTTTACCTCCCCCCAGTTTGTACTCTCACTTCTCTTGCACTACTCCAGAGTCTGATGGCAGTGCACATGCCTGCCAGCCTACTTGCCCTGCAGAGGCAGGGCAGGGGAGGAGGGTTCTCTGCTCCTGGCCGCGGTGCCGTGCTGACCTCTGGCTGCTCCAAGGAGGAATTTGTGGGAGAGCTTTCTGAGCCTCAAAGGCTGGAGGCTCTGGCAGCTGCTGTGCTCAAAGGCTGGAGGCTCTGGCAGCTGCTGTGCTCAAAGGAAGTGCTACCTAGACATGAAACTTAGTCTTCCAGCAACGTGTAATTCAGCCAAATCTTGGCCAAGCTTTGTGAAAGCATATTGTAAGGAACACGGCGACCTCACTACACTTGGTGTGCTTCTTCAAAGATTAAAGCAAAACCAATGCTTTAA